TTATCGGTTGAGCGAGAACCAAACGAATGAACACAATTAAAACATTTAATCCCAAGTCATCATCACCAACTCTGAAACGAGAGCCATTAAGTCTTATGATCTGCCGAAACCAAGATTTAGCGCTTCCTGGCCTTCAGGGATATTAGTAAATGTTTCATAGAGTTTGGGCTAATATAAACAACAAACAGAGAGTTGTACGGCCGCACCTCCTGATCCTGCGTGCATTATTGCGATGTCGGGCTAAGCGATGCCGTGCCCCACAAATCTTTCTGCCTTCCATATTTACTTTTCTTTTTTAATTTTGTTTTGAATCACCTTCACATCTACCACCCTAAAAAGAAAATATGTAGACGCAAATAAAATATGAAAATTCATGTGAATGCGGCCACAGTAGTATAGGTTGGGGCTTGGCATCAATCCGTGAATTTCTTATTACGCATAGTGCTTGGAAAACCAAAATTGATAGACTAAAGCAGTTGTTATATTTAAAAACAATAAAAATATTAATTTCAATTATAATATGAAATTATAAAATTAAGAATTTAAGTTAATAAAACAATAAAATCTGAACATTATTGTTTTACAAGCTTAGTAAATACTGCGATAAATGAGATTTCAAGGTCAAGCTAAATGAGAATTTTTGCATTACTTGTTTTTTGTTCTTCTGCCTATGGAGGTAAATTTTGTTTCGTATATCTACTCCTAGATTTTAATCAATTTATTCCGCAGGTTGTTGAATCCATAAATGTGGAAGTTGTGCAGGAAAAGAATACGGGCTATTTAAATTGCACGATGGTTCTCGACGAATCCCAAATGAACGTGAGTTAGTGTTCTACTTAATCTTTTGGAATAAATTTCCAAATACATTTTAGACTGATTTATTTGTTGTTCTGTTCACTGATTTTTTATGAGCAGTATTTGATATACAAATTTGTGTGATTTCCAATGTTCGCTTATCTTTATCATTGATTCTAAACTTTCATTTTAGCAAGCAAGTTGGTATTATGGTGGAAGACAGATCAGCATTGGTACCAAACTTCTTGAGCCCGTTCGTATTGGCCTCTATGGTAGGGAAAAATACCAAGCCAGATTTTTCCCTGGTCGTCCCGATTTCGCACCAAATATGCCTGGCATGGATATAAATCGCTTGCAAACCTATCAACTTGAAGTCCGGTTTGCTGACATTACTGATAACGGAATGTACAGATGTGTTCTGGAAATCAGTGAGTCGTATCATTTGATTTCTGGTTTATGACTTGTTCAATGCTTAAATAACCATTTGTGTAATAATGAAGTAATCACAAATGAAACTACCTAATGTTTAATAAAGACATACATCTTCGTCAGATTTCTCTAGTTTAAATTTAATTTTTCTATTGATAGGTTTTTGTTTTTAGATATATAGCTTATTAAATACCATTTCATATAACGAGGTTTAAATTTGTTATAGTACGTTTCGGCATTGCTAAATTCCTTTCATATTTTATTTCACGTTGATATTCATTATTTAAAAATTGATTCATACAGCATTTACAATCTTCTAACGCGGAATGATTGTGAAGGCCGCAAAATTTATGAAATTTATAGTTCTACGCACAATCAAATAACAAATGTGCTTTTATATTTCAATAAATTTAGGCAGCTAAATAGATGGGTGTATAAGATAAAATGAACCACCAAAATATCTTGAAAGAACATTATAAAAGGCTTTTGGAAGAATAAACATATAAGTCAATGAATGCAATTTTCATCAAAGCAGCAAGTAAAGTTGTCGGTTTTAGAAGTTTTTGGTAACGAATATTAAAGTTTGAATATATATTTCAAATTGCAGCAACGGAAGAATCAGTTTACTTTGTGTTTAGTATATGGCAAGTGTTTGTTATTATTTAAATCTCAGATTTTCACCATGTGACATAATCGGAACCCCAGGGCTTTTTAGCAAATCATCCTGGTTTTAGTTCACTTAAAATACTAGTAATTCTGACAAACGATATTGTATTATTTTGAATACTTTGCTTTCGTTGTGTGATCTATTTTTATCATCGAATTGTCTATTACATTCGACGGAATTCGTACATTTTATCTTAGATATTTAGATAATTGACTTTTCCTTCCCAGTTAATAATTCAGGCTCCCCTCTTTTTGGACAAATGTTGTGAATATTAGCAAAATAGAACCGGCAATTATTCAAGCTGTCATTAACTTAATTTCACCAGTCATTCTGGCTTGATCGTTATTATTGATCTCTTTATTTTGGTTGCAACATGTTCTACTACACACAGCAAAGCATTTTAGGAGAATATACTAAATTTAAAATAGCAAAACGAAATTCTAATGGGCGTATTCTATAATACAATGCCTCGATTACTAGTTCATTTTTTAAAATTGTTCAAATTATTTTTATGGAAAAAGTTTCAGATATGAAAGTTTTACAAAGTAATAAGGTTCTGATCGTTGTTAGAGAAAATACCGGGGTATACCAACGAATTCTGATACATGTCTTTTCATTTAGAGTCTTTGCCAAGGTCACTTTGGCCTGAAGCTTATGGTCGATTGGTGGTAACACAAGCCCCCATCATTCTCCCTGGACTAGCATCCAAGATCGTCGACGAGGGCGATTCTCTTACCTGGGTTTGTCAAGCTCAAGGGTCTGCGCAACCTAAAGTCAGCTGGACTAGAGCCAATGGCCGGCCATTGAATCTACCTGGCTCCCCTCAGAGGATTTACGTAAGCAATATCCTACTTAATGGTAATAAGTAGCCAGAATTAAAAATACATATTTTGATGACTAAATAAGGAATAAATTATCGTTTTTAAATTTGTACATTTGCTGATAAGAGTGTTTCCAGCGCAAAATATATAAATAAATATAGATACCTAATTTAATAACTATTCAACAGCTGTAATTTTCGTAAACATTGAAATCTTTCCCCATTTGATGAAGTCAAGCTAATCATCACTATATTTTTAAACGAAAGCTCAATTAATTATTTTATTACTGGTTATTTTTGATTACAGAATTTTGCAATAAGTTTGAGATATTTGTTTGGAATGGATTTGAGAATAAATGGACGAATGAACTTTCTTAAAATTGGACTTGTGGAATTTGTGTTGTTAGTGGAAAATGTTAATAAATATTTGTTAGCTCAGAATAAAATGATGTCAATGGTAGGCCTTTGTTTTGAAGTGTTGGCGTCGCGTGTCAACGACTCGTCGTGTAATACCGGGCTTATTCCATAGGAGAATAATTCAGACCTTTTAGTTAGTTTTAAACTGTTTACAAATGTTAAAATGATTATTTTATTTATTAGAAAACTTTTAATAAATTAATGTTTTTTTTCCTATAATAGGCACCACCAAAAGCGTCATTGAAGCATTGCATTGCATGACCCATTTCTATTAGTGAAACATTTATGTGGTGGAAATATTTCTGTTCCAAAAATTTCAGTTGATACCACTTATAGGCAGTAGCCTGAGATTTATCGATTTAATTAATAAAATATAAATTTATAAGACCATTAAAGGGATCTTTTTGTACGGGAAAATTCCTTTCGCTGTATAGAACTGCAAAACCGACGTCTAGCGATATCAGATTTGAATACTTTCTATTTGAAGTAAGCGGGGTGCGCAAGAGACTTACCTCCACGTGGTTAAATACGGGGTGCGCAAGAGACTTACCTCCACGTGGTTCACCCTGGGCAACGTATACTTATACGGCAAAAAAGTCTATTAACCAGCAATTGAATTCTGACTTCAAACTACCATGACCCGATTGTATGTCATATTCGACCCCTCTCACAGTACTCATCTTACCTTTTTTATGCCATTGTGTCTGTCTGTCTGCCTGTCATTTTTACCTCTGTGAATCATTATTCTATCCACCTCTCGATTTTTTGTCACCTTGGTGTTTCTCCTTCTCTCTGTGAAGCCCCGAAGTCAGCTAAAGGGCTACTGATACTATCAAAACGCCAGCCAGTAAACTGAAAATTTTGCAGAACGTATTGGGGCAGTCTCGTTAGGCAAACATTTACCACTATCCTGTAAGATTCCTAATAAATCATTATAATTCCTTCCTTTTTAATTCAAATGGTCAAATGTTTGAGGATTTTTTTCAGTTAAATGTTGAGATTATATGAACTCTCTCTGGAAAATGCAGTTGAAATTCTGTAAAAGCATAAACACGCGCAATACAAATAAACCGTCAACTAAAGCACAAAAAGTTTGGCTGTACATTTCGGCATTTGAATTCGAGCATGATTCTACAATGAAGAAACCGAGAAAAGTACATTGAATTTTCACAGATGAATTACTCCCTCCGTAGATGCACATTGTGGTGTTACAGAGCATAGAATTAGCAAATTCGCTGTTTGCGTGAAAGTCATTGCATTAGCGGTTGGGCATACATTATTTAGCTTTGCATTTCCATTGCCGAACAAGTGATGAAATACTTACGGCTTCTACTAACGTATGCTTTCTCGATTTAGAGGAAATAACATTCGCTTGTGTTCAAAACTTTCGCAGTAGTGTAAAGTGGCATATTCGTTTTCACGGGATTATTATATAAAACAGGATGTTAGTCTCCTATATTTCACTAGATAGTAATCGTTTTCATGGAGTTTTTAGAGTATTTATTTATTTCAAATGGCAGGCATTTTAATAGTTATCATTAGCCCTTTAGCTGACTTCGGGCTTCACAGAGGGCAGGAGCATCAAAGTGAAAAAACGTCGAGAGGGGGGAGGGAAGAGAAGAGCGTATCAAAGATGTAAAAGAGACAGACACAAAGGTAGAATAAAGGTGAGGTGAGCGCTGTGGAAGTAGTCGAAAATGAAATATAGTGAGGTGATGGTAGTTTAAAGTGAGAAGTCAACTGCCGGTTAATAGACTTTTTTGTCGTATGAGTATACGTTGCCCGGGGAGCACCACGTGGAGGTAAGTTTATCGCACACCCCGGGAATTTTTAAAGTTGAATTTGATTTAACAATTTCCTTTAAACAGTATGTATGTATATCTTTTAGTTGGTGGTTGGCGCTCCGTTAAATTTTATTAATCAATTTTTGGTGGATTACAAATGATCCACATAATGATTTTATGTTTGATTGAGCTTTTAGCGATTAATTAAATGCTTCAGGAAGGCATTTTCGCTCAATTGCACTTTTTTCAGACCTTCCTAATGAACCTGCCTTTTCAATTATTTCTATAAATTAAAAATTCTCAACTTTTTAATAAAATTTCAAAACGGAAGTCGGAGAGTTAATTCATCGTGAAGTTGTTTGAATTTATTACGTTTCCTGTACTACTGCGATTATATCGGAGCCTACACTTCAAAGCAGACCAATCAGATTGAAATGCTTTTTCTTATTAGTAATTGAAAAAAATTTCTAAGAAAGCTCACTTTGTAATGTGCTTGATATTTATTTGGAAAAAAATTTATTTATTTCATATGGCAGGCCCTTTAACTGACTTCGGGGTTCACAGAGAGGAGGAGGGACATCAAAGTGACGAAAAAATCGAAATGGGGGGACAGAATAATGATTCATAGATGTAAAAGAGATAGACAGACACAAAAGCAGAGAAGAGATAAGATGAGTACAGTGTTGGGTCGAAGATGACATACAGTGGGGTCATGATATTTTGAAGTCAGAAGTCAACTGCTGGTTAGTAGACTTTTTTACCGTATGAATTCACGTTGACCAGGGTGCACCACGTAGAGGTAAGTCTATCGCAAACCCAATTAAAAAAATAACGCCCTGAATAATTTTTGAATTTCTAGTTTCAATTAAGTATTCAATTCGAAAGTCATCTTGGCTCAGATTATGCAGTATTCCTCGACTCATGATGCCATAAAGTCGATACGGAAAAATTTCGACGACAATAAACAAAGTAATAGCATCTAACGAGGACAAAAATTCTCAAAAAGCCTCCGTTTACACACTCATTGCCTCACTAGGAGCTCTTAAGTTCTTTTACATTATCAAAACCCCACCACTTCATCGTTGGGTGCTTTATTTTGATATAACAACCCTCACCAAGGCACAACGTGTTGGGCAGCATGATTTTAGAAATGAAAGTTAAATAATGGATAATAAAGAGACCCACTTAATATTAAGACGCTAACCTGATTTTTAATACGGCAAAGGTGATATCGAAGTACATCACAATAAAACATAATAATAATTTATTTATATCAAATAGCAGGTGTTTTGATAGCTATCATTAGCCCTTTAGTTGACTTCAGGCTTCACAGAGGGGAAGGAACATCAAAGTGAAAAAGTCGAGAGTGTTTCAAAGACGAGGGTAGGAAAGGTAGAAAAAGGGTGAGGTGAGTACTGTGAAAGTAGCAAAATATGACATACAGTGGAGTCATAGTGGCTTGAAATCAGAAGCCAATTGCCGGTTAATAGACTTTTTGCCGTATGAGTATACGTTGCCCAAGGTGCACCACGTGGAGGTAAGTCTATCGCACACCCCACATAATAATAATAATAACAAGGTGTTTGTTTTTCAAAGTTTGAGCTCGCATATTGTGGAGGTTTATTTGATTGCCTTGTCAAGGGCAAAATAATTGGCACTTTGAACATATAGGCTGTTGATTATAGCCCAACCAAAGTTATTCAATCTTGCAATCATTGCTCATATTTTGTAAGCACTTAAAGTTATTAGGTTGGATTCATTGCACACCATTCCCCCATAGTACTGGCCAATTATGACACTTAAAAAAAACTAATTGAACAGCACATTAATGGGAGTTTTCAACCACTTGACAATCACGGAACTCTAATTCAACGGTTGCCATTAGCGATTTTTTGGGACAATTAGTTGATTCTACTCTATCCGATTTCAATCAAAACTAGGCACTTAATTCAGCTCGTTTAATTTGCTCACTCTGCTAACAACATTGAAATATAATGCAGATATACATAAAGCAAGCGTTAACCATTTATATTTTTAATTAAATCTCCTTTTTCATATGCAGACTGGCATATTTTACGGTGAGCACACCTAGCACATTGAAAATTCAAGGCCAAAATGAATTGTTAGGGTATTTTAACCCTCGACAGATTCACAAACATATTTTTTTGTCATTAGTATTATATTTATAAATTAAGTCCCTAGTTTATTTCAATAGCTTCTTAAGAAAGGATTGAACACGGTTGACTTAATGAGTAGACAATTAATTTCTTATTTTAAATTTATTTATTCATATCAAATGGCAGGCGTCTTGATGGTTATCATTAGCCCTTTAGTTGACTTCAGACTTCACAGAGGGGAAGGAAGGTCAAATTGTGAAAAGTCGAGAAGGGAGGGAGAACAGAAGAGTGTTTCAAAGATGTAAGAGACAAACGCAAAGGTAGAAAAATGGTGAGGTGAGTACTGTGGAAATAGTCGAATATGGCATAGAGTGAGGTGATGGTAGTTTGAAGTAAGAAGTCAACTGCCAGTTTATAGACCTTTTTTTGCCGTATGAGTGAACGTTGACCAGGGTGCACCACATGGAGGTAAGTCTATCGC